TCTGATGATGCACCATGTTATTTCTCTTGATGGTGTCCCATTTTATTCTTAGGTTTTTCTTCTTTTTCCTTCCTTTTTGATTCTGCGTTTTGCTCTAGCAGATCAGTGGTGACAACCCTACCTTCTATTTCATTGGCTCTGTGTTCCATGTTAAACTCTGTTCATGTGTCATGTGTTCATCATGTTGACAGCATCTGAATCATTGAACCTCATACTCTGGATCATGGTTTCTTGTCCTTCCAGAGTCTCTAATGACTCATTTGATTTATCTGCATTGTCTTGGATTGGTCAGTTTTTTTGTTTAAGCTCCTCCTGGTTTTTGCTTGCAGTATCTTGTAATTCTTCAAGTTTATTTTTCACCCACTGAAAATATTCAATCATTGTTCTGTTCAATTCTTTGTCATAAAGTTCCATCAGACTTTCTGGCTTCAGGTGTCACCTTTTGAGGGAGACATCTTGCTTTGTGCTTGTGTAATGTGTGAGGTAGCCCACTTCTTAATTGACATTACTGTGGAAGAGATTTCATGCCTGAGGTGATTATGTTCTTGATCTGAAGTCTCTGTTCTAGATGAGGGTGGGGCAGCTACTCTGCCTGTGTTTCTCTCTGAACTTCTGACCGAAGGAAAGGCTCTGTTCAAGGCCTGTGAGAACAGCTTCTTGTTGCAGCTAAGTCAGATCAAGGTGTTCCAGATTAAAGGCAAATTATTTGACTGGATGTGGAGGCATGGTGCGGGTGGAACGGGCGCAGGACAGGCACAGGGTGCAGTGGGCACACACGGGGACCTCATTAAGATTCCAGATGGGCTTACACAAGGTCCTCACTCAAATTCCAGCTGTCCAGCTCTCACTTGGCAGCTCTCATGCAGCGGGGCTCTGGGTCGGGCAGGACTTAAGAAAACTCAGTCAAATTCCCACTGTCCTACTTGCTCCTGGCAGGTGGCTCCTGCCAGGGCCCACAGCTCACTGCTCCTGTGACTCTCAAACTAATTATTTTAATAATAGTTCTCACTATTCCTACTGTCCTGCTTGCTCTCTATGTCTGTCACTCTCTGTGCATTGCTTTCTCAGAGGTAAGATTTTAACATTCTGGGCACAAGACACTGAACATGTTTTGTTTGTCCATTTATCCAGTCCATTTATCTATCATGTCTCTTGTCTACTATGAACAGTACTGTAGTGAACAAATCTTTTTTGAGTCTTTCAAGTCTTCAGAATATTTAACAACAATTTTTTATGCGTATGACATCACCTTGTTTTCTGAAACTGAGATGGACCTGAGGCATTTGCTGCAGATAGTCAAGGACTGCAGTCTTCAATATGGACTGAAGCTCAACAGCAAGGTGACAAAGATTCTCACCACTAGGCCAATTGCCAGCACTGATAGCACCATGATTAAGTGTCCATCTGTTACCTGCAATGTCTGTAGTTCAAAACTATCCAGCTCTTCTGTGAGAGAAAAATCTAGAGATCTGGTCCCAGAACTATTACATATTCAGAAGCCTGAAGGGGAGTTCTCCTGTGTCATGTCACACAGGGTTGCTGTGAGTCGAAATCCAATCAGCAACGCCCATGCCTAGAACCTTTAAGGCCCCCAGCAACTTGTCGCTCCTACAATGGTTGCACCAGCAAAAGCCCCAAGAGAAGAACGGTGCCTCTCCTCCAACAAAGCCTTGAGGGCGGCCTGCCCACTTCAGTCTGATCATGGTATTTTCAATTGTTTCTTATACATGTGAAAGTTGGATAACATATAAAGATGACAGAGAAATCAATGTCTTTGAATTGTGGAGTTGGTGAAGAGTACTGAATATCCTAAGGACTTCCAAAAGAGCAAACAAATCTGTCTAGAAGGAAGTGCAACTAGACAAGGATGGTCAAACTTCATCTCACTTACTATGAGCATAATTGCAGGAGGTATCAATCCTTGCAGAGGACATCATGCTGGGAATGGTTGGTTAACAAAAAAGGGGAAGACCTCTATAAGATACAGTGACTTCCATAATGGGCTAGAGCATGAGATTGTGAGGATGGTGCAGGCAGGGCAAGGCAGGGCAAGGTTCAGATCTGTTGTTCAAAGGCTTACCATGAGTTGTATTCAGCTCAACCACACATAACAAAAATAACATTTTTTTGGAGACCAAATTTGTTCTAAAGGTATGAATTACAACTCAAAGTAAAGAAAGGAAAAATCTCTACACATGATGGGGGCATCATGATAAAAGAAGAAAAGACTGAAGTTGTCAAAGGCTTCATTTTACTTGGAAGCAGATATCTGAGGAACTAAATGAAATATTGCATTGGGTAGTTCTGCTGCAAATTATCTCTTTGAAGTGCTAAACTAAGGATGTTTTGTTGATGTGTAAATCACACTTTACCCCAAATCATGGTATTCTACATTGCCTCATACACTTTTGAAAGTTGGACAATGAAGAAGACAGGCATGTTATCAGGAGGGGCCAGTTCCTAGGAAAAGACATCATGCTTGATGAAGTAGAAGAGTGACAAAAATAACAATGAGATGGACTGACATAGTGACAGCAACCATAGGCTCAAACACTGCACCAATTCTGAGGACAGTACAGGGCCTATAAACTGGATGGTTTATAGGACTGCTGAGTTAAAGCCATTCAAAGAAGACAATTAACAACAAGCATAGCCCTCCCATTCATGGTAACCTTCACAGAACAGGTCTATGAGTAAATCTTCTCTGGACTTTTTATAAAGCTGTGGTGCTGGAGAAGAGTACTTAATAGACCATAGACTGCTAGGAGAACAAATGGGTTCATCCTGGAGCGGGTGAGACCAGGTTGCTATTTGGAGGAAAAGATTCTGAAACTCCATCTGACATCTTTAGGGCATTTTTCAAGGAGAGATCAGTCCTTCAAGAGAGACATTAAGAGGAAGACCCTCAATGAAATGGATTGACTCAGTGTTTGGGGTAATAAGAGTAGGTATGTCAGAGACAGTAAGGCTGGCTCAGGATAGAGCAGGGTCTGGAACTGTTGTACATAAGGTCCCTATGAGTCACAGGTGACTTGCTGGCATATAACAACAACAAGAAGAAGTCTAATACTCATGGAAGAACTACCACCAGAGTGCTTTGTAGAGACAAGAAAGGTAAAACTTAATCTTACACACTTTGGTCATGCTATTAGGAGTCCTTGGAAAAAGACATCATGCTTGGAAAAGCAGAGGGTCAACAAAGAAAAGGCAAACACTGCTCTATCCTGAGCCAACCTTACTGTTGCACCACCAGGGCTGCTTGGTTTCTGGCTTATTGTTGTTGTTGTTAGGTGCTGTCCAGTCAAGTATGATTCATAGTAACCCTGTGAACAACTGATATAAACCCGGTCCTATCCTGTGCCATATTCACACTTCCTGACACACTAGAGCCCGTTTTGGCAGTCTGTGTTCACAGGGTTTTCAGAGGCCTGTTATTTAAGAAATGGATGGCCAATCCTGCTTCCTAGTCAGTCTTAATCTAGGAGCTCTACTAAAACCTATCCAACATGGGTAACCTTTATGGCATTTGACATACCAGTGGCAGAGTCTTCAGTATCACAGCAACTCACAAGTTATCTCAGTACAGCAAACTTGACAGGCAAGCACTGTACCAATTAGAACAACGTTCTCTACAAACACAACAAACTACTAATTTAGTCTGTATCTCTAATAGTAACTCAGTCTTCACACCAGGCCAGAAGGCTCAACAAACTCACAAAGGCCTGCCCACTAGGTCCTGATTGGTTTAAACAAAAGGCTTCCAGCTCACAACTTACTGTTAATTCAATCAAAATGACCAATCAGTGCTCACTTCAGCAGCACATATACTAAAATTGGAACAATACAGAGAAGATCAGCAAGAAGCGTTCCATTTTTTAAAAAAATGACCAATCAGCAGAATCTGACTGCTTCAAACAGGAGCTCCAACAGGAAATACTAAGGAATATTAATTAAGACATGGTCCTAAATTATACACTGATTTAAATACCTATATTTTTAAAGGACTTTTGGGATCTAATTAACTTTAATATTATCTGGCATTTAAAAAGAGCAAATTTTAACGAAACACTAAGTAGGGGTATCATCAACTCTAAAGGGGGAAAAAGCCAGGTTTCAAAATTTTCAGCATCTATTTATACTCACTATATGACCCAGCAATCTCATACTTCCTATTATCCAAGGAAAGAAACCTATAAACACACAGTTATATGTGAATGTTCTTAATAGCTTTATTCAAAATTACAAAAGAATTGGAAACTATCCAAAAGTCCACAAACCACAGAACAGATAACAAATTGCAGTATGTGCACATAATGGAGCAGTTGTTAGGTGTTATTGAGTACGACTCATTGCAACCCTATGAACAAAAGACCTGAATCTCATCCTATCCTGTGCCATCCTCACCACTTGAGCCCACTGTTGTAGTGACCATGTCGATCCATCTCAATGGGTCTTCCTCTCTTTCACTGATGCCCCATTTCAAAGGGGGGGGTGTCTTCCTCTCTTTCACTGATGCCCCCACATTTTCAAGCATGTTATCCTTTTCCAAGGAACAGCCTTTCTCAGCAATGAGATGAAGCTTTGCCTCCAAGGAGCACTCCAGCTACACCTTTTCCAAAATATAGCTTTTTGGTTTTTTTGGCAGTATGAGATACTTAGTATTCTTCTCCAACACCACAACTCAAGGCATCAATTCTTCTGTCATCTTTATTCAACATCCAGCTCTCAGATGGATAGCATATAACTGAAAAAACCATAGCCTAAATTAGGCATACCTTAGTCTTCAAACTGACATCACGGTTCTTCAATATTCAATATTCTGGAACAAACCCTGACAGACTTGGCCAAAGCAATTAATAAAAAGAAATAGTCTCTCTTTCCTCAGTTGCTGCTAAGGTGCTCGGTTCTTCCTTTGAAACTAAGGCCACACTGAGGTGAGGTCCTCACTTCATTCAGCACTAGTACCTGCCCAGCAGCCATGTGCCTAACGCTACTGCACCATGGTGTCCGTTTTTGAGCTTACCTGCATCTACTCGGCCCTCATCATACATAACGAAGAGGTGATCATCACGGAGAATAAAATCAATGCCCTCATTAAGGCAGCTTGTGTCAGTGTTGAACCTTCCTGGCCTGGTCTATTTGCAAAGGCCCTGGCAAATGCCAACATTGAGAGCCTTATCTGCAATATGGGTCCTGGTGGACCTGCCCCAGCAGCCAGGGCTACACCTGCTGGAGGACCTGCTGCTGCTCCAGCTGAGAAGAAATTGAAAGCAAAGAAAGAAGAATCTGAAGAGTCAGATGATAACATGGGACTTGGTCTTTTTTTATAAAACTCCTTCTTTAACATGGTCAATTAAAAAAAGCTGAACTATTTTTAAAAACAGTCTTTTGTTGCTGCTATAAGCTCTGGATTTAACTATGTAATTGTATACTTTTGTCAGAACTAGACACTTAAAGCTGGTAAATATTATTGTATGTAAATTTTTAAAAAGAGCAAGGGCCATGTGGGGATGGCCATATCTGGCATTTACCAACTTCACAAAGGGGAAATATCCCCATTAACAGCATCAATAGCACAAAGTCAATTTCCAATAAGTCAGACATGCCCCCCATGCACCCATACCTCTTCCTACTACTCATCTCAATAGCAATCTTAACTGCTTTTCTGGGTCCAAAATCCGATGTGATAGCTCACAGATCACACAAAACCATACTGGGGAAGTCAAAGAGTTATAATCCAGATTAATAACAGAATACAGTCAAGATGGCTCCCAAAATGTACAAACAGGCACCGCAGCCTCAAGTATCACAGCTTTAGGCCAGTGTTTCCATATTCTCAGTCCTGCAAATATTGGTTTCCCACCCTCAGTTGTCCAACATAGTTCTTAGCCCTACCAATACTGGGCCCCTCCCACCAAGTTCCCATTTCACATTAGGTCTCCAGTTCGGCAATATTGTAATGGAGGAGATTGTCCCACTTTTTCCCTTAGAGCCGCTGGTGGTACTAAGAACCAGAGAGGCAGAGCTCCCTACCCAGATAAAAGATCTGACAAAATGCTCTCTAGCTTTTAACTAGACAGTCCAAACACAAATACCATGTAGGCCACACTCCTGAGGAGATCCACAACTAATCAAATAAAAGTAATCCTATCTTTACAGATTTACTTGTAATCGTGCCTCATTAAAATCACAGAGATGAGAATTTACCATACACAGAATAGTTACATTATACTGAGGATCATGACCATGCTGACACTCAATATTAAATGTGACAGTTGTTGTTGTTGTTATGTGCCGTCAAGTCGCTTGAGACTCATAGCGACCCTATGTACAATAGGCCTAAACCCTGCTCTATCCTCTGCCAATCGCACTGTCTCTGACACTCCCATCCCGATTGCCCCAGTCACTGAATCAATCCAGCTGAGAGTGTCTTCCCCTTCTGCACCGTCCCTCCACCCTCCCAAGCATGAGGTCCCTCTCCAAGGACTTGTCCCTCCTTACAACATGTCCAAAGTATGTCAGACGAAGCCTCAGAATCCTTGCCTCCAGGGAGCAGCCTGATTTAACCCTCTCCAGGTTGAATCTGTTTGTTTTCTTGGCAGTCCAGGGTACATTCAATACTCTTCTCCAGCAATACAGCTCAAAAGCATAAAGTCTCCTTTTATCCTCCTTAGTCATTATCCAACCCTCTGATGCATAACAAGTGATTGCAAAGACCATAGCCTGTATCTTAGACCACAGATGTACCTTAGTCTCCAGAGTGACACCATTGCTCTTCAGTACCCTGGAGAGGTCCCTAACAGCAGACTTTCCCACTGCAATACGTTTTTTTATTTCCTGGCTACTGGTGCCCAGAGTGTTGACAGTGGAGCCAAGCAGACTAAAGTTGTTAACAATCTCAATCTCTTCACCATCCATCCTGATGCTGCCAATTGGTCCAGTGGTGAGAATCTTTGTCTTCTTGACATTGAGCCTCAGTCCATACTGAAGGGTGCAGTCCTTGACCCTTCGCAGCAAGTGCATGAGGTCCTCCTCAGTTTCAGCAAGCAGGGTTGTGTCGTCTGCATAATGTAGACAGTAAATAGATCTTCCACCAATCCTGATGCCACACTTCTCCTCATAGAGCCCAGCCTCTCGGATAATCTGTTCTGCATAAAGATTGAAAAGGTATGGACATATCCCTGGCGTATGCCTTTCCCAATTTTGAACCATGCAGTGTTTCCTTGCTCTGTTCTGACGACTGCCTCTTGGTCCAAGTAAAGGTTGTGCATTAGAACAATCAAGTGTTCTGAGATTCCCACTCTTCTTAGCGTCAACCACACAGTCAAACACCTTTGTATAATCAATGAAATACAGATAGACATTCTTCTGGTATTCCCTGCTTTCAGCTAAGACCCACCTAACATTAGCTACAATATCCCTAGTACCACGAACCCTTCTAAACCCAGCCTGGACTTCTGGCAGTTCTCTGCTGATGTGCTGTTCCAGTCATTTTTGGATAATCTTCAGTAGCATCTTGCTTGCATGTAAAATCAATGATATTGTTCTATAGTCTGCACATAGGAACAAATATAGGTCTCTTCCAGTCAGTTGGCCAAGTGGTTGTTCTCCAGATTTCTTGGCACAACTTGGTGAGCACATCCAGGGCAGCACCTGTTAGCTGAAATACGTCAATTGGTATGACAGTAGGTAAAAATAAATATGTATAATAAAAGATTACTTTTAAAAATAAAAATCAGCTTTAATAAGTAAACTTTATTATATAAATGTAGGTTACTAGTAAAAATTTAATTAAGGTTATTATTATTTTAGTGGTAAATTCCTATGCCTAAAATAGTATTTACAGAGTAAGATAATTTTTTTGGTATTAAAGTTTTTACAATTAACAAACAATATATGTTCTGAGCATATTTGGATCATACTCCATATCTCTGGCTTCTTCCCATATGAAATAATGATCTATCCACCACAACAATAGTACTAATAAGCTTAAGTTCAAATAACAATTGGTGGTGGTATTTAAAAAAAAAAAAAAAAAATAAAGCAATTCAGATGAAAGCATTTCAAACAGTAAATATTGTTTCTTTTTATAGGAGAAACAGGTAGTTGGGGAAGAGGCACAATAAAAAAGAAATATGGAGTTCTAAATTATACTTATATTAAAGGTGACAAACATCCCAGATTGAGCGAGAAATTGTAGTATAGCTGGACACTGTGAAAGACTGTCTTTTAAAGTCCCTTAAGCACTTGAAAGAACCTCTTGGGTCACAGAAAAGTGATGGGACAGGAAGAGGTTTGAGGTTTCCGTTTGTGGTTTTTTTATTTGTGGTTTGTGTGTGTCTGTGGTTTGGGTGTTTCATTTCTTTTTCCTTCTCCCAATATGTTTTTTTAAATTTTTATTTGAGTGAAGGTTTACAAAGCAAATTAATTCTTTTTAATTTATCGTGATTTGAGTGAAAGTTTAGGAAGCATATTTTTTTCAATCGTTCATGCACATTTTGTTTCATAACATTAATTACAAAACTCATATTGGCAAATTAATGTTCCACTCATTCATATGCACTTTTGTTTAAAAATATTAATTTGAATACCCAAGTGCTTTTCCCACTTCCTCCCTGTTAATTCTGATTTCCATTAATCCTTCTACACTTCTCTACGTGTTCTCTTTCTTTAGTGATATTATGTTGATCATTCTTTTACTGGATCGTAATCTGCTCCTATATAACATTATCTGTTTACTAAGCTCCCCTCTCCCTCTAATCCCATCCCCTGGTAACATCAAAAATATTTAAGGTCAAATCTACCACTAGAGAAAGACACCACTTAGAAAAGAAGAAACTGACAACAGAATGGTCAACCACTTCACTGCAGAGATCAAGTGTAAGTATGAGGAGGACACCAGTAAAAAGAGGGCTAGTAGATGTATCCACACTGCTCATAAACCCACAAAGCATATTCTTCCAAGATGCTGGTCAGTATTGAGAGCGAGTCTCTGCATGCAGCAACCCACTGCTATACTTCCATTACCTTCACCTGGACTGAGGAAGAGAATGCTGAATGATCTGTTCCACAGCACCCTAGACCTTGTAGAGAAAGCTTTTAGGGATGCCATGCAACATAATTTACAAATCTGTGATATTGTTTTGGTGGGTGGTTCTACCTATATTCTCAAAATACAGGAACTTCTGCAGGACTCCTTTAATGGAAAACAATGAAACAAGAGCATCAACTTGGGTGAGGCTGTTGCTTATGATGCAGTTATCCAAGCAGCCATTTTATCTGGAGACAAATCTGAAAACGTTTACTACTCCTAGGTGTCACTCCATTTTCCCTTGGTATTGAAACATTTAATACTGACCCCCTCAAGTACAAATACTACCGTTCCTATCAATCAGACACAGACCTTCACAAGCTACTCTGACTACCAGCCTGTGTACTCATTTACATCCATGAAGGTGATCATGCCATGGCTGAAGACAACAACTTGGCTGTCAAGTGTGTGCACTCACTTTCACACCTCCTGCACCCTGTGATATTCCTCAGATTGAAGCCACTGTTGAGATTGATGCCAATGCCATCCTCAACATCTCTGCTGTTGATAAAGAATCCTAGAAAAGAGAACAAGATCACTATCCACACCGCCCACAGCCAGTCATGAAGCTAAGTCAGAGAATGAGCATCTCCAGTAGTCTGAATCCACCAGTGGCTCCTCGGATGAAGGAAGGGCAGTCTCCTCCAGTTATAATTTACAGGCACAGAAATCCAATCAAGCATTTCTATGAGTCAGAATTGACTCAACAGAAGTGAATTTCTGAACAAGGGCCACTGGAGTAAAGAAGACACTGAGTGAAAAGCCAAAGAAAACTGCAATGTACAGGGTTGAAGATGAAAAACAATGATAAGGTATCTTCTGAGAATTCACTTGAATGTGATGCAACAGATGAAGGTGAAAAACTACAAGGCAAGATTAATAATGAGAAAAATCAAAGACTCTTGACAAATGTGAAGATATCATCAACTGGCTAGCTTGTTAAGAATCAGAGGGAGGGAGAATCTGAAACATCAGCAGAACGAACAGAGAACACCTGCAAGCCCATCTTTTACCCAGCTGAACTAGACATGCTGGAGGCATGCCTGGAGGAATGCCTGGGGCTTCTCTGGTGGCAGAGGTACTCCATCTGGTGGCACCTCTTCTGGTCCCACCACTGAGAAGGTTAACTAATACAATCTCTGAACATAGATACTTCTGAATTATTTTAAAATGAAAAAAAAATTGAAAGACCTAAAACTTGCACACTTTTCAGGGGTTTTTTTGTTGGGTTTTTTTCCC